AGTCTGCAGAACTTCCGGAAAATAATCAAACTGAAAAATTTCCGGAGATTTTTGCCTTTTAAAATTTCCTGATGAAAGTATATAGGCTATTTAACACGGAACGAGTAAAATCAATTAAAACAATTAAAAACAATGAAACTTTTAAAAAAGAAGAAAGGAAACTGAACATGCTAAACTATAGCATAGAAAAAATTTGTAGAAGAGACTACAAATAATTTTGAAATACGAGAAGAGTTAAAAGTGGAAAGTATAGTTCATCAAAGGATTACCAAAGCAAAAGAAAAAAGTGAAACAATAAAACAAATACAAAAAGCAATTGAAAAAAGATGGAAAGATCTAAAAGATAATCTGAAGTGTATGATAAGTAGCATATTAGATAAACTACGCAAATCAATAGTAATGGATCGAATTGTAAAAGAGATATCAGATAACGATACAATTATAATTACAGAAAGTAGTGAAATAAAAGAACTGGTAAAAAAACATTTTCACAATTGGACGAGGAAAAGAACCACGGATGCCAGGTTATTTAAAAAATAAGAGTCTGAATATATACCACTTAAAGAAATCAACAACTCGTGATATGACACCTTATATAATGAGGTCAAAATAGATGAATTAGAGACAGTAATCTAATCTTTACCAAATAATAAAGCACTGGGACAATTCAATCTTCAATACGAGTGGTTTAAAAACCTCCCACAAAAAGGTTTAGATATTTTTCGAAATATAGTAAACGATACACTGCTATTAAATGATATTTCTAAAAAGTGGAAAAAAGGCTATATTTATCCAATACCCAAAACTGCCAAGTGGGATAACAATTTAAATATCACAAGACCAATTACATTATTAGAGACAGGTAGAAAAATATTTATGAAAATCATAAATAACAGATTATCAGCTATTTTTGAGAAACGGAAAATTTTATCAGAACATAATTATGCTGGCCTGCTGGGAAATAATACACAAGGGCCTATACACATCATAAACAATATCATAGAAGATGCTTGCACTAATAATAAAGAACTATAGCTTATGTTTCAGGACATGAGCAAGGCATTCAACTCAGTAAATTCAGACTGCTTAATTTAGGCATTACGTCGTATCAAAATACCTGAAAAGTTTATAAATCTTATGTCGAGACTACTAAAAAATAGAGAAAATAAAGTGATAACGGCACATGGAAATACTGAGTCATATAAAGTGGAGAATGGTATCGATCAGGGAGACATCATTTCATCATTAATGTGAAGAATTTTTTATGACCCTCTTATAAACCGTGTGGCAAAGTCAAAATTGGATTATACAATAAAAGAGAGTTGAACAAATAATTTGTACTACAAAATACAAGTGAATATTAGCTGTGAATTAGCAGTTGTAGCATACGTAGATGATACAAATTGGTTCGCTCCAAGTAGGAAAAAAATGGAAAAAATACTTGACATCACTAATGAGTTCTATATAATAAATGATATTAAAATCAATAAGTCAAAATTATACCTAATAACAATTAATACCGAAAAAGTAGATAGGGACACAGATATCAATATGGGCCATAATAACTTAAAACCAATCGACAGTAACATCCCTGTTTGCTCGTTGGGAGTATTTGTAACTGAGAGTGGGTCAAAAAAATTCCAAAAGGAGCATATGAAAAAAAACGGTAGACTACATGGCAACCATTCTAAGAGGAAAACAAATCACAAATAAATAAGCAATATATATCTTTAACGCGGTAGTTATTCCAATGCTAGAATATAAATTAAATGACATGACGCTCACAGAAAAAGAGTGTAATAAAATAACATCCAGATTTATAGCGATAATCAAAAATAAAACGTGTCTAGCACACACATCACCTAACACTTTAATTTATACAAAAGAAGCATATGGAGTATGCTACCTGTGGAATAGACAATTACAAATGCAAAGTAATAATTTACTAAATTGCATTAATGATAAGGGGATATTAGGCTTAATAACATGTATTAGGTTACAACAACTACAAAATATGTTCTAGTCAGGTAATGTGATAACTGAAACATTAAATTCAATTAAGCTAAAATGAGGTTGTTCATTCCTTAATGAGGTTTTAATAATATGTAAACAAAATAAAGTCACCTTTAAACTATCAAATGACATGAAAAAAAGTTTGTAGATTAAAGGAGGTAAGACCACCATTGAAAAGTTAATAAAAGAATTTGATTGTTATGGTCAATACAGACGGAGCCTACGTAAGCGAAAACTGTTATTTGTGGAACAGATCTTATCATTTAATGAACATAAACTATTACACTAGCAGGCGATCAAAGATAGTGTGAGAAAGGGTCCAAAGTCAAGATGGTTTAAGCTTATCGAAAGGATACTTCTACTAAATAATAACGATAGAAGCATCATTACCAACAACAATTTCAACAATATGAAATATAAATATAACGCATACAATTGGAATATTGATAAAAAAATAAAGAGATCGGTTGGTTAGCAATACAAGATAACAATACTTTATAACTGATTCTGGGTAAGAAAAAAAGGGTCATAAATAAAAGTGAATTTACTATGATTCACTATATAAACGAGTCCTCACCAAATTGAACAGAGAAATCCTCACTCAGTAAATGCAAAGGGTGCGCTCATAAAGATGAATCATTATCAAATAATTTTAAAAATAATGAGATATATCTAATTAAAATGGACATGGCACAATCTGTTAATATCAACGTAATTAAAAGTCAAGTCTCAACCAGAGACACACCAACAAGAGATAATAAAATTCGTTTAAGATCAGAAAATGAAACCATCTTAGATGGACTAAATAATATCAAAATCAATAAATTAAATACGATACAAAATAATAGTAGCACACAAGTATTACGCATACCGGAGATACATATTAGAAATACAATAACTGAATTTTTACATCTATACCCAAAATACAATAATTTTTGGATGGATGAGACAATACAGAGAGAATTAGATGAGATCAGGATAAATATGAATAATTACAGAGAAATTGATATATATACAGATGGTTCTTTAAGTTTATTAACTGGTAATAATAAAGACCCTTTGATGGGTTGTGGATGGGTTATTATAATTGAAGAACAAATTAAACACCAGTTTTGTGACCAGGTTGAAAATTTCATGTTATCTACTCGAGCTGAATCAATGGGAATTCTGACAGTGGTATATGCTACACCAAGAAACACAAAATTAAACATCTATATAGACAGTCAGGCCTCAATAACAGCTATTAATAATGGCCTTATAAACAAGAAGAAATTATTTTGTAAACTGAAAAATTGGCATTTAATTCAGTCAATTATTGAACTAACACAAGTCTATAACATTAATTTATACTTATATAAAGTACAAGCACATTCTGAAGTGACTTTTAATGAACTAGTGGATGAAATAGCTAAAGAGAAAATCCTTAAGTCAACATATACACCCAAAATTGAAAAACTAACGTCAGTTAATGCAATTGGATGTTGGAAAAACATTGACATAGAGGTTCCCTTTCGTGGATTTGTGAAAAAGCTGGGCACAACAAAATCTACAGTTAATTGAAGATTGTTAAATAGGAATAGTAATTCAATATCTGATTACAAAAGTCAAAATATTAACTGGGAGATCACGTGGAATACCGTAGCATTATTGTATAAAGCAAAATCTACAACAAATAACAAAGAAAATAGAGAAAGAGCTTTTAATATGAAATTGCTCAATAATGAATTACCTACAATGGAATGTATGTACAAAAGATACCCAAAGATATATAAAAATAATAAATGTATATGATATAATGATAATATTACTGAAGATCAATTACATACTTTCATGTGCAATTCAAATTTAATAGATATACAAATGTGCAAAGATAAATTTGTTAACACTTTAATTGATCAATTTAATAAGATAGCCAAAACAAAAACAAAACCAGATAAACTCAAAGACGAAATTTATGAATTAAGTGAACTAAAGTGATCCGAAGATGAAAAGAATTATGACAAAAACGAATTATCATTTCTTGACATCATCATTGGGCACATTCTCAATTCGTTATACAACAATATATCTTCACAAACACAAAACAAAAGAGAAGTATTTAAAATTTTTGAAGAGACAATGGTAACTTTCAAGGAATATATAAGAACAAATATTTGGAACTATCGCTGTAAAATTGTAAAACAATGGAAATTAGAAAATGGAATTAAAAACGTAAATAAAAGAAAGATATTAAATCAATATTATGAAGAGATCATTACTGATAACAATAATCGTAATAGTAGTAGAGATAGTAATAGTAACAATAATAATAATATTAACAATAAAAACAATAATAATAATAGAGATAAACATAGACAACTGAAAAATAATTGCTATGACGCAGTTAGTAAATATATATTATCATTAGTAAAATATAATAAACATTGGTCAAATATATATAATATAGGCTGTTCGGCAGGGCTTTAACAAGCCGTTTATAACTGTTGTTATCTGGCGGTAAGTTGCAGGCGTGTTTCGTGTTAATCTTAGGATTGACAATTCGAATTAGTCTGAGTCTCATCTTTTCGTTAGTTACTAGAATAAGTTGTGTATCTTATATTATGTAATATTAATGTAGGAGACTTTCTCTTTTTTTAGTTAATAAATTTGAGGCAAAGCCTCGCCGAAACTTTTTTTAAAAAAAAAAAAAAAAGTTTGCTTAAATATTATTTTTAATAATCATATTTATCATAATGTAACAATATATCATCACATATAGTATTTTATCTTATGGAAATTGTCAATAAAATTATTCAAATATTCAAGTGCAATCTGATCTTTTGTCATCATTTAAATTATTAAAGATTAAGAAATTTATTTAATCTATTTCTATTATCAATAATAGATGATTTTAATATATACAAGATAATTATTTGATAGCTTTGTTTTAATTTTTAAATTAATTAAATTATATGCCAATTTGAGTAAAGATTAGCAAAAGGTTAATTTCTTTCAAGAGATTAACATCAATTCAAGAATCGCAGAATTGATGATACGTTTTGAATTTGAAATTTATGGTTATCAATTCTTACTAATACTAATGTAATAAATTTCTACATTCGAGTTAATTCTAATCAAATAATAGTTATAATTTGCATCACAAGTGAATTAATATTTCGAGTAAAATCCATGCAAAAGTATCATCTTTGATTATTTTTTTATCTAAAATGTTAGTAACTTTATCTTGAATGGAAAGACCTTTAGAGAAGTATTGGATCCAGACGGTGTCCATAAGATTTTCTACAGACGTATTTTTAATAGATATACAGTTATTTTTGATACACTTATTTTCAAGTAATGTGATACAATAAATAAACATTGTTCACATAATATATAGAATATGAATACCACGTGCCCAGTTGCGCATGTTACTTAAAGTATCAAAAAAAAAAATAACCAATAATCTATCAAAATTTATATTTTTGCAGATCTGTTCAGGCAAATAGGAAACAATTTCTCCAAGGAGGTAATAATTATGTGGGAGTATCTAACGGATGTTCCATATCTGTGTACTTTAATTTGTTGCATAAAATATCTGGGGTATGTTACATCCCACTACCTAAAAACATAAATCGTACCTGGGAGATATATTATATGGAAGGGAGTATTTTAAAAGGGGGGAGTTAATGTATAGAGGGTATAAAATCTGGAGAATACAAACATGATTACTATATATAGAATTTCGTACATGTTGAGATCTGTTTTAATTTTTTTAAAAAAAAAATAGCTTGCAATCCAACTCTTTTGAAAAGAGTAACTATTACGTAAAAAGAAAAGAAGTTGAAATGCATGAGAAAAATTAGCAATAATAACCTATCTTGAAAGAAGTCCTAATGCATCTAAACAAAATACAGCCAAAAAATTTAATATTCAACCTAAACAAATAAGAGATTGGATTAAAAATAAGAATAAATTATTAAGAGCAAAACCACATGTAAAAAGATTTACTACTGGATTAAAACCTTGATATCTTTTACTTGAAGATGAACTTATCAAATGGGTTAAAGCCTTACGTTCTCAACAAAAAGTTATTCCACATTTTATGGTTTGTGAAAAAGCAAAATTCTTATCTAATAAATTACAATTTATATCAGTTTATCCAAATATATCAGAATATAAATAGGGTGAGAGGTGATTAAGTGGATTTATACACTGTCACAGACTAAGCAATCGTCACCGCACAACAGTAGCGCAAAGGTTACCAGAAGATTTGTTAGAAAAACAACAAGAATTTTTAAACTTTGTACTTTATCATTGTATTCAACATGATTATCCTTTGAGCTTGATTGGAAACATGGATGAGACACCATTATCATTTGATATATCAAGCAATACAACAATTGAAGAAACAAATGCAAGTACAGTTAGTATAAGAACTACAGGTCATGAAAAATCAAATTTTACAGTAGTACTTTCTTGTATGGCAGATAGTACAAAATTACCACCATTGATAATTTTTAAATTAGTAAATGTGCCAATACAAAATTTTCCATCTGGAGTTATGATCTGTGCAAATTGTGAGGGATATATGAATACCAATAAAATGTTATGGTGAATTGAAAATATTTGGAATCAACATGCAACAAGATCAATTGATCCTCGTTTATTGCTTATATTAGATTTATTTTGTGGTCATTTAACAGATTCGGTAAAATTAAGATTTGATGAAAAAAATACAAACTTGGCAGTTATCCCAGGTGGTCTTACAAGTAAATTGCAACCACTTGATGTTTCTATCAATAAATCTTTTAAATCCAAGGTAAATTTGAATATTCAAATATATTGATTATTATCAAATTTAATTATTAAATTAAAATTCAAAAATATTAATTTATATTTTTATTAATTTAAATAAATATATTTTATAGTATTGCCAATGTTATAATGATTGGATGGCTGAAGAAATCAAGAAACTTATACCAACTGGTCAAATACAACGTCCTGCATATAATTTAGAAGCTGAATGGGTGTTAACTTCGTGGAACCAAATTGACAAAATTCTTATACAACGTGCATTTAAATGCTGTGGTATTTCAAATGCACGAGATGGAAGTGAAGATAAATATATTTTTGATTATAATTGGGTAAATTGAACAAAAAAGTATGGTGGAAATTTTATATATACAGAAGGTGAAAATGAAAATAATATCAAAGATAATGAAGGTAATTCTGAAAATGATAATGAAAAATAATGATGAAAATAGTGATAAAAATAGTGAAATAAGTGAAAATGACAATGAAGTTAGTGAAGAAGATATTGAAGTAGATAAAGAAATTGATGAAGGTATTGAAGTTGAAAATAATAACGAAACAATTGATTTAACTCATGATTCTAATGATAGTGATGATGATTATTACAACGATGAATAAATTTAGAGAATTAGAGTTAAATTTATATTATAATAATAATAATAATAATAATAAATAATAATAATATAACAAATAATAATAACAAATAATAATAATAAATAAATAA